TGTGTGTGTGTGTGTGTGTGCGCGCGCGCGCGCGCGCGTGCGCGCCTTTAAAAGGCGGGCTAAAACAAACGGAGGGGCGTGGCCACAAGCGCGGTCCTTCGTGTCCGAACCACGTGTTAGGTGGGAAAGTCCCGCCTCTTCTGTTTACGTTACCTGGCAAGATGGCGGCGCCCAGAGCGGTAGGTGACCGCGGCGCCCCGAGCCCCGGAACTATAGTTCACTTTGCAGCTCAGCTCGAGACCTCTGTCAGCCTCCTGGGAGACAAAAGCTTGCGGGGTCAGCGAGTCTCCTGCCGGGCCTCGCCCGGGAGACGCCGTCGGGGGCTGCCGAGGGCCACAGAGGGTCTCGGGTCGCTTGAGAGAGAAACTAATGGGATGAAGGTGGACTAGCCAATCAGAGGAGTAGGACAGCTCTTCCCGGGAGAAGGGACGGGACCGGGGTTTGGGGGATGTAGAGTTAAGGACGCTTTTGCGGGAAATTCCTGGTGAATTTAAGGATCTTGTAATCCCAGTATTTGGGAGGTGGAGGAGGCCAGGCAGGGCAACGTAAAAATCCTGTCTGTAAATAAATAACTAAACCTTAATAGAAAAACAAAAACATATCAAAGGACAGAGTGTGCAGGCAAGAGCCAAGAAGTTAATTTGGCGGTCTGAGGAAGAACCTGTGGGAAATTCATAGAACTTGGTTACACTGGAGAATGTATTTAGTAGTAGAGTATTTTTTGGTACGAATTACATTGGGTTCCATCTCCAGCACTACCTGTAAAGGTAAAGGTTACGTGGATGGGATGACAAATTAGTCATTCGGCAAAACCCTAGGGAGAACTGGGTAAAATTTGGACTGGGGAAATGGTTCCATTATTAAAGCACATGACCTTGAGGCATGAAGACCGGGAGTTGGTAAAAGATGAGCATCTCAGCTCACCTGTAACCGCAGCACTCTGAGTGGCTAGACTACGAGTTGCGTTGCGGTGCGCTACAGCGAGAGACCCTGCCTCGATACATAAAGTAAAGGACAACTGAGGAAGACAGCTGGTCTCGACCTCTGACCTCCATACATGTGCACATTCGTGCGAGGACATCCATACATTTGAATATGCATACACATGAATTCACACTGTACACATACCCCCCCCCAGCCCCCAGAGTGAACTGGTGAGAAATTAAGGTATAATGGGGGTTTGAGGGAAAAAAAAATAAGGATTTGGTGGCAAATTAGAAGAACTTGAGAAAACCAAGACTGGCTGCATTAAGGAAGGAATTTATGGTTGGTTAAGTGGAAGAATTTGGAGAAATGTTTTGCATCCCAAAGGTTAAGGATTGGGGGAGTGGACATGCTGGGGGATTGACCACAGTGCCTTATGAATATTAAACAGAGACTCTAGTCCTGAACTACACCCCCAAATTAGGGTGGGGGTGTTACCAGAAGGATTTTACAAGGCTCCGGAAGCACAGGCTGAGATTTAAAGGTCATGATATAAGAGTTAGGGGTGGAATCCAGCTCCAGGCTCAACCTCAGTCCTTTCCCTCTCCCCTTCTCCAGTTCCTGCACCTGGGCTCCCGTGAATGGAATGGGAGAGCCAGGGGCATCCAGAGCATGAGTGAGTGGGTGACCCCAGACAGCAATCGGGAGAAGAAAAGGACGCTGTTGCAGTTCCTCTCAGATCACTTCCAGGACATCCAGACTCTGAGAGAGTACTGGCTCCAGAAACAGATCGCTAAAGTCAACTGGGTGAATCGGTGAGAACCTATGGCTGACAAGACCCCAGAGAGATCCTGCTGGCCACACCTCCCAGCCAGAGCACCAGCTCCTGCTCTGGTCAGTCCCAGGCCAGGCTGTGGTTCCCACTGCCAGCATTACAAGCTCACATCTTTATCGCTGGCCCATTCCTTCTCTAAGACTCACTATATAGACACTTCCACCACCAGCTGTGCTTGGGGGTCAAGCTGGCTTCTCAGACATACTTAGCTACAACTCAGATCTCTCATGTGTCCCATTTAAAAGAAACCTTACTCTCCATCTGTCCCCATCCAAAGAGTAGGTGTCGGTGGCCACCCAGTTGCTAAGGGTGAATCTTAAGGTCTTTTCTTCGGCTTCTCTCTGCCTTCACATCTAGTCTGTCAGCTCCCGGGGTCCCGTCACTTCACTGCGTGGTCTGCTCTGATACCTTTTATTTTAAGGTTAGAGTCTTAGCCACTGTTCTATTGCTGTGAGAAGACACCATGGCCAAGGCAGCTTTTTAAAAAAAAGAAATCATTTAAATAGCTGCTTGCCTACAGTTTCAGAAGGTCAGTCCATGACCATCGTGGTGGGAGCATGGCCCCACGCTGGCACGGTACTAGAGCAGTCGCTGAGATCCATACATTGCAAGCTTAGAGAGGAGAGTGTGAGACTGGGCCGGGCATGGTCCTTTGAAATCTCGAAGCTCAACCCCAGTGACACACTTCCTCCAACAAGGCCACACCTGTTAATCCTTTCCAAACAGTTCTGCCAAGGGGGAAGCCAAGCACTCAAGGATGCGCCCATGAGAGCCGCTCTGACTCCTGCCGGTGCACTCAGTTATGACGTCAGCTCGGAATCAGCGTGGATTCGCTGCAGGAGCCCCCCTTACTGCTGAGTGGAGCCAGCTCTAGCCTCATCGTCGTTTTGTTTTGTTTTTGAGAGAGGCCGTCACATAGCTTGGGCCGGCGGGCCTCAAGCTTCTCGTCCTCCTGTGTGCGCCACACCTGGCCAAGGAGTGACTTTTAACGTCTACTCTAAATGAGTCTCGACAGTCAGGCTGCCCCTGATTTATCCTCGTCCCAGAACTGGTTCTCTGTGATTTGCTCCTGATACTTCCTGCCTTGTAGTTGAACAGAGGCAGAGACAGTTGTCGGCTTTGGTCTCCACGGTGATCGCAGTACGTGGCACTTACTGGCACACAGATTGCCAGCCAGGCTAGTCCATATCTTGCTTGGTGCCCTGTGGTCTGCCCCTAGATGAAACGGTACACGGTGAGAGGTCCCAGGTTTCACCTCCGCTCTCATTTTCTCTGCAGGCCCTTCACTAGGATCCAGGAGAAATATGGCCCGTATGTCACAGGCGCTCTCTTCATCCTGAAGCAGGGAGGTGCAGTGAAGTAAGATAGCAGTGGTGACGGGGTGTGGGAGCGGGGTAGAGCGCCTCTGCTCTCTAATGGCTGTGTGGTGGGGGGCCCTGCTCCTTGACTTCAGTCTATCATTTAGCTGGTACCCAGAGCTGAGGAGGTAAAGACAGGACAGTCCCTGAGGCTCTCTTGCTAGCCTGTCAGCCTAGCCAGACTGGTAAGCTCTGGGTTCAGTGAGCAATCCTGTTTCAAAACACAGTGGGAAAGCAGCTGATGGAGATGCCCAGCTGACTTACATGCATGCACGTGGACACACGCACAAAGGCGTGCAAATGCATATGCACAAATACATTCTCAGTTAACAGCCACCCCTTTAATCCCAATGCATGGGGACAGAAGCAAGCAGCTGGCTCCCTGTGAGTTCTAGGCCAGCCATGGCTACATCTTAAAAACCCCTTTAAAAAAAATTATTAAAAATTATATACAGCCAGAAGTGGTGTCACATGCCTTTAATCTCAGCACTCAGGAAGCAGAGGCAGTTGGATAGCTGAGTTCGAGGCCAGCCTGGTCTACAGAGGAAGTTCCAGAACAGCTAAGGCTACACAGAGAAACCGTGTCTCACAAAAGCAAAAAGAAGTGTTTTTCTGCTGGGAGGTGGTGTGTGCCTGTGACCCCAGGCCTGGGAAGCAGCAGCAGGTGCATCAGTGTGTCCCCTAGCCCGACACGGTGGCGTGCACCTGTGAGCCTGGCTGCTTTGGAGGCTGAAGCAGAATTATAAATTCTGAGCTACATAATAAGATCCAAGACCCTGTCTCAAAAGAGAAAGTCTTAATGCACCTTCTCCTCCCTTTCCTGTTATATATATATCAGTCTTGTTATATATATTCAGTGTATGGGGGTGTCCTGCCGCTGTGTGGTGGTCGGGACCACCTGAAGGAGACACTTCTCTCCGTCTGCTGTTGGGGCCCTGGGGCCCACTGGCTGTCAGTCTTGGCATCAGACTGCTTCACCCACTAAGCCATGTGTCAGCCCCCTGGTTATTTTGTTTTCTTCTTTCTGGGAAGATACATAGTTTCTGTAGGCCTTATCTACTCTTCCTACCTGGTTTGAGCACCTGTGCCAACATCCTTAGGAAGAGATGTGTCTGAAAACTCCCGTCAGTAAGAACTGCATGTGCCTTCCATTAGTGTGTGTTGGGGCCGGGAGATGGGGAGTGTTGGTAGGGTCTTTACTCTGAAGCCCAAGCTGGCCCTCAATTACCAATGCTCCTGCCGCAGCTTCCCAAACATTGGGCTTTGCTGAGCAGTATCTGGGGTGTCTTGTGTGAAGGAGTATGAAGAATGCTATCTTACCACCATTGCCAGATGGCCACCCATGGGAAGCTGGGCAGTGACCCTCAGCTGACTCCTCATTCTAGGTTTCAGGACAAGGAGTGGATCCGGCAAAATGACCGTGGCCGTTTTCTTGCCGAGTTACAGCAGTTCCAGAAGGTGCCTGTGGAGGCTGTGGATGCCAGTGGCTGTGCCATCAACTACCAGGGCCTGAGTAGCCTCTGTGAGTGGGCCGGAATGGGTGGGTTTCCCTTTGAGGTTGGGCTCCAGAAAGCCCCCTGGTGCCACCTGCCTTCTTACTCACCAGTGCCCCTGAAGGAGCTGCGGTCCCTGTCCCTGCAGCGCTGCCCCAACTTGGATGACTGGTGCCTCGGCCGCCTCTACCCACTGGCTGGCTCACTGCAGGAGCTCTCACTGGCTGGGTGCCCCAGAATCTCAGAACGGGGCCTTGCCTGCCTCCACCACCTCCAGTAAGCTCTCTGCTCAGGCTGGCACAGGGAAGAGTCGGGAGGGAATCCTTGGTGCTCCTAGCCATCTGCCTGTACGGTGATCTGGTACCCGGGATAGCTGGGCACAACTGAGCACTCTGTGTCTTGAGAAGGACTCAGTGACTCCTGGCTTTGCTTCCTTTACACGTGGATGTTAGTCGCACTGTTGCGGGAGAGTAGACTCAAAGAAGCATATTTATAGTTAGCAGTTGTCATAGCAGTGAACTTTGCTAGCTACAGAGTTTTACCGGAGAGCCAGGAGCGTGGCTCAGTGGCATACCAGTTACCCAGGATCCCCCAGTGAAGGGCTGGGAACTCGGCAGAGCTACAGTGTTTGCTTAGAATGTACCAGTAAGGGGTTAGGGCCATGGGTCAGCAGTAGAATATACGAATTCCTGGATTCCTTCCTTAGCAAGTGCACATGCACATAGACACACAGAGTAGAAAGAGAAACTACCAGTTGTAATCAGGGTCGGAACCCACCCTTCACATATACACAGATGCCACTCACGTCTGTCCTTCTTGCCCCTTCAGGAACCTCCGCAGGCTGGACATCTCAGACCTCCCTGCCGTGTCCCACCCAGGTCTCACTCAGATCCTGGTGGAAGAGATGTTGCCCCATTGTGAGGTCCTTGGAGCTCAGAGTCTGAAGCCAGAGCCAGACGAGCAGCTTCTGGACACATCTAGTCCCCTGTCTCCCTAGCCTGTGACCCCACGCACGGAGGGTCTTGTCGGCTTTGTGGAGTGTCTGAGGTCTTCTCACACTCTGGCTGCTGGTGTAATTTATTCAGCATGAAGGAGCACAGGCAGATAAGAAGACTGGGCCAGGACTGACTCAGTGCTGCCTGCATCTGGCAGATGTCTGTGGCCTGGTCAGATAGCCCTCCATGCACAGCTGCATGCAGCTCCGTAGTTCCCCTTTATCCCTGTTTGTCAAGGAGACTTCCCCCAAACTCTCCTCATACATGTCGACAGGGACTGTGGCTGACATGAGACACTGCTGGCCCTTTACAATGATAGTTCTTCCCTGTGCCTGCACTGACGAAATACCAGCAGCACCCCAAGCCTCATGGCATTACCCATTGATTTACTGACTTGCACCTTCAAATGTGGGCATCTGAGTGTGTCTGCCTATACCACCCCCAAATGGAGATGAGTGTTTGAGAAAATAGTCTTCTTCATCTGGCACAACAGACTTCCGTCAGTAGAGGGCGCTGGAGAGAATCCAAAGTGCCGAGGACTCTGCAGGGACTTTAAAGTGTACAGTGTAGCAGGGTATCCAGGTGCTACAGGTCAGCAGTTCCCCTAGCACCCAGATTGCTGGGTGGCCAGCAGCTTCCCCTGGCACCCCTACCAACTATGATTGGCTCCTGGCACCCATGTTACCAGTGGTCCTGTCATGACTCAAATATACTGCGGAGATGTGTGATTCTTTATATTAAACTTCTGCTGTTCACGTTACTCTGTGGCTTTTCCTCCCAACTGGATCCAGATGGCACCAAATGCAAAGTTCTGGGGATAAAGATTCAAGATGGATTTGGGAGGGCTAGGTCTTTATGCTTATAGCAGTAAGTTCCTTGCTGAAAAAATAAAAACAGGATGCCATAAATCCTGTCATGCAGGGCATCCCAGACAACCTGCAACAGGTGCCCATAGCTGTTGTGTCAACAGCTGTGGCTGCAGAGATGGTGAGGGTGCTGGGATCTGGGGAGCACCCCTGAGTGCTCAGAGGGGTGCATGCGTGTGTGTGTGTGTCAGAACTCCCATGACAGCAACAGAAGCTCATTCATGGAGTAGAATTGGACTCATAATCAGGCCTTGACCCCTGTCCCCACCCACTTCAAGGCTCTTTTGCCAATACCAAGGAGCCACCAGAACCATCTGGTGATGACCTCACCTGGGTCCTTGCTTTGAAAGGAATGCCCATTATTAAATATTATTTTTATGTAAGTGCATCACATTGGGTACAGTGCCCACAGTAGTCAGAAGAAGGCACTGGACCCCTTGGAATTGGAGTTACAGGTGGTTATGAGCTGTGGGTTCTGGGAATCAACCCCAGGTCCTCTGAGCAAAAATTGCTCTTAACCACTGAGGCCCATATGTTCATTCTTCTTAAGACTCCAGAAATCACTCAGATCTGTCTACACAGCAAGTTCCAAGACAGCCAGAGCTACAGAGTGTGAAATTCCATCTCAAAATACATATATGCATGCATACATGAATGTATACATACATAATCAGGAGTGTCCTCTATTGCTAACAAATCCGTAAAACCTAGGATCAAACCCACTTGTTCCAGCGCTTGGAGAAAGAGGGACCTGCTGGGCTCCAACTGATAAGAACAAGATCGGGGTAGTATAGCTCAGTGGTAGCATACATAAGGCTACGGGTACTAATCAGTACTTCTCTCTGGTTAGTTGGTTAACTGACTGGAACATAGACCAACAGTACCCTGCAGTTAATAATGCCAAGAAACTAGAAATGCCCTGGTCTGACATGGGACCAGGTAATGAAAATGCCCCCAAACTATGGTCTCCCCAAAGTACTCTTCAACCTCCAAGCCTTCATTACTCTGTCCCATGTTCTTGTACATCACAGCTTTCTGTTGAGCCCTCCTGGTTTCAGCAGCTGTGTGGCGGCTTCTGGTTGGACACAGGCTGCACACCAGTCCCGCTTCCCGGGAGACAGTAAGGCCCCAGGAGGCGGTATCAGTCACAGAGGCTTCAGCGCCCTGAGATGAGCCAGTAGTGCTCAGAGGCCTTGAGGAGCCTCTCCCGAGGCTCTAGGCGAGGCTGGACTTGGCCCTGCCTAGACCTTGGCTATCTTCCTCACCCTAGCTCGTACTTATTCCATTAACGTTCACCATTTCCTCCCCACTCTCTTCCTCCATCTGTTCCCACGGGCTCCATTATTCAAACTTGGAGGGAGGAAATCAGGGCTGGAAAGATAACAGACTCTGGGCGCTGGTACACTGAGTTCTTTCTATATCTGGACAGTCCTCCAAACCAGGTAGGCTGCAAAGGGTCAACCGGGGCTTCGGGGGTGGGGAGCAGGCTTCCTCCCAACCTAGGTCCCCGGAGATATGGGAAGGCCCTACCTGCTGGCCTCCCCAGACTACCGGCAAAGACTCAACAGCAGAGGCCCTAGGGCTGGGATGTAAACACAGTCACTCTCCTGCCCCAGGGGTGGGGCATAAGCCCAGAGCATCATAGGGCGGGGCCCCTCTCAGCTGGATGGAGGTGGTAGGAACGGCTGGTGGCCCATGCACAAGTTGGAGGAGGTGCAGGCCCCTAACTCGGGGGCTCTCAGTGCACCTCACTTCATTGCCTTCTATTCGCTCGCGTCCCGTCTCCCCCACCCCACCCCTTGCATCCCCGCTCTCCCTGGTCCTCCTCCTACCGTTCCCTGGTTAGTCAGGCTCTGTTCTGAATTCTTCCCCCTGTGCGTTTTTCCCCTGCTCCCCCCCCCCCTTCTCTGCTCTTCTAGTTGCCTGCCAAGGTCTCCCAGGTTTTTTTTTTCTCCTCGACACCCCTCCACCCACTCCCGGCCCCTGCAAACACCACACCCTCCCACCCCATCCTGCTCGCAGCACAGTCACGACGCTTTCAGGCAGTGGCCTCGAACTAGCCCCTTGGCCTCCCTTCTCTTTGCTCGTTGGGACCGCCCTCGCAGGTCCGCGGCTTTGGCCACCCCTAAACCTTTCCCGCTGTCTCACCAGAAAACCAGCCCTAACTCGCCAGGGCGCGTCTCCCAGTCTGCCTCCCCTCCCCGGCCCCGCCCCGGCTCCTCCCGGCCCCAGGGGCCCTCCCGCCGCCTCCCCTACCGCCCGCCCCTCCAGACTCGCAGCGCGGGCTGGGCCGGCAGCCCGAGGACGCACAGCTGCGAGGAGGGAGTTCGGGCAGGGCTTGACCCGAGGACCCCCAGAGCTGGCGGAAACTGGACCCAGAGGTACCTGGGGCCCCAGGCCCTGGGGTGGGGTTACTGGAGGAGGTAGGTAGGTTTCCAAGAAGGTAAAAAGGAGTTTCCCCGGGGAGCCGAGTCTCCTGAAGAGACAGAGGAACGAGGGAAAGGGAATAGGAATGGAGTTGGAGCGATACTGCAAATGGATGTAACACCTTGACTACAGGAAGGGGAAAGAATGGGGGGCGGAGGAGAGGCGGTGTTCAGTCTAGGATAACATTAACAGTTGGGTGCCGTGGGTCAGGGTCTCAAAAGCCATTACTGGAACTGGGTAAGACCTAGGCTGCTTGCCTGGGCTTTGCTGGGCCCTCTTTGGAGATCCATCCTGCACCCTAAAGACTTCTGTGGCTCCTTGTGACTCTTGCAGCTCCACTGGTGGCCCTTTCCCTGGGCCAGGTCATGCGTTGCCGCAAGTGCCAACTCTGCCTGTCAGCACTGCTCACACTCCTGGGCCTCAAAGTATACATCGAGTGGACATCTGAGTCCTGGCTTAAAAAGGCTGAGCCCCGGGGCGCTCGGCCCAGTCCCACACCATCCAGTGCTGAGCCCACCCTACCCACCAACCTCTCAGCACGCCTCGGTCAGACTGGCTCACTGTCCTCTGCTTACTGGAACCAGCAGCAGCGGCAACTGGGAGTCCTGCCCAGTACGGACTGTCAGACTTGGGGGACTGCTGCTGCCTCGGAGATCTTGGACTTCATCCTGTATCCCCAGGACCTTCGGCGCTTCTTGCTGTCAGCAGCCTGTAGGAGCTTCCCGCTATGGCTACCTACAGAAGGCAGCCCAGTGGCCGGCTGCTCTGATAAGGATGTACCCTACTTGCTACTGGCTGTCAAATCAGAACCAGGACACTTTGCAGCGCGACAGGCTGTGAGGGAGACCTGGGGCAGCCCAGTCGCTGGGACCAGGTTGCTCTTCCTGCTCGGGTCCCCAATAGGAATGGGGGGGCCTGACCTAAGATCACTGGTGACATGGGAGAGCCGGCGCTACGGTGACTTACTGCTCTGGGACTTCCTGGACGTTCCCTACAACCAGACGCTCAAAGACCTGCTGTTGCTGACCTGGCTGAGCCACCACTGCCCTGATGTCAATTTTGTCCTGCAGGTTCAGGATGATGCCTTTGTGCACATCCCAGCCCTGCTAGAGCACCTGCAGACTCTGCCACCAACCTGGGCCCGCAGCCTCTACCTGGGTGAGGTCTTCACCCAGGCCAAACCACTCCGCAAGCCTGGAGGACCCTTCTATGTGCCGAAGACCTTCTTTGAAGGTGACTACCCAGCCTATGCAAGTGGAGGTGGCTATGTCATCTCAGGACGCCTGGCTCCCTGGCTGCTGCAGGCTGCCGCTCGAGTGGCCCCCTTCCCCTTTGATGATGTTTACACTGGTTTTTGCTTCCGTGCCCTGGGCTTAGCGCCCCGCACCCATCCAGGCTTCCTCACAGCCTGGCCAGCAGAACGTACCAGGGACCCCTGTGCGGTAAGAGGCCTGCTCCTGGTGCATCCAGTCAGCCCCCAGGACACCATCTGGCTCTGGAGACATCTGTGGGTTCCTGAGCTCCAGTGCTGATCCTCAGAGACAAGCTGGGGTGAGGGTGGGAGTGCTGGCCTGGCCTGAATCCCTTTTCAACCCTTCCTAGCCAAGAATGGGCCAGACAAGGTGGCAGACTGTGTTTATCTACTTCCTGATTTTGAAAAATGTGTCCTTTCTACTCTGAGGCCAGGAGCTATTTCTTCTTCAGTGGGACCCCTGTAGGAAAGGCAGACACTGCTGGCCCTCTACCCTCACGCATGACACTTCCCAGCCTAGCCTGGCAGGTACCAGGGGGTATCCTGGACACTACATGGGACATCATGCATCTACCAGCCCATGGGAGGGCTCTCTCTGGAGGGACCATGTGCCAAGGCTGCCTTCTAGCTTGGGAACATTTATAGAAGTAGGTATCTTCAGCCTTTCTGCCTAAAGAAGCCAGGATGTCCCCAAAGGCTAGTGTGGTGCTATATATTCCTATAATCCCAGAACTAGAGACTAAAGCAGGATCACAAGTTCCAGTAAGTTACTGTGGAGATGCACAAACAAACAATAGCCCTCAAACCAAATCAGCCATACTGGGCTCTCTCCTCCTCTCCACACACACCCCAGTCCCCAAACTTGAGGAAAGAGGCCAGAGGAAGCAGACTCAAAGGCAGAGCTGTGGTTTACTTACTCTGCCAATCAGCTATTTCTCTGGGCAAATCCAGGGCCACCCTGCCCAGAGGGCCTTCCCTGACCCTGGTCCCTTCCCACCCCTAAAAGGCACTGTAACAGGTGAAGGGAGTGATGGAGCCACAGCAGTGGCTGCAAACATGGTGCCCCAGTGAAGTGGCCTGGGGGAGCAGGAACGGGAGGAAGAGTCACCTCATGACAGGCTGGAGTGCCACCCTGGCCGCTCAGCATGTTAGCAGCGCTGACTAGCAGGGGGGACAGCATCCTGCTGGCACTCCTGCTCCACTTAGAGCAGGACC